CGGGGAGGCCCAACCGCGGGCGAGCCCGGCTCCTCCCCTTCCCAGAGGGGGCCCCCCGCCCATCTGCCCCCCCCCCCCCCCCGCCGCCGCGAACTCTGGAGGGGCTGTGGGGGCCGGTGGGCGCCGAGGAAGGGAGGAGATGCGCGAAGAACACAACACACACGGAGGCCTCTCTGTTCTCTTAACCAAGAAGCATCTATTTTTAAACAAACGGCACAAGGAATAAAAAAAGGAGAAAGGAGCGGAAGGGCTTGTGGACTGTAAATGGCTGCCCTGCCATGTTCAGGATGGCCGACCCCTCGAGAGAGAGGCTTTCTCGTGGAACGTGCACTGGAAAAAAATGCCTCGGATGCTGCGCAAGCATCGAACTTTAAAAAACGTCACCCCAAGGCAAAAAAAGGGGGCTTCCTGGCCTAGCCACCTCCACCCGAGGAACCTCCAGGTGTTAAGGCAGGGAGGGCACCCAGAGCTTGGAGGCTCCAATGTCCACCGGGTGGACCCCAGGGGGGTCCAGGTTCACTCGCTGTCAGCGCGACAGGTGGATTCTTCCTCCTCCTCCTCCTCCTCTTCTGCCTTCTGCTCATCCTCCGTGGCATCGGAGGACTCGTGGAGGAGGACGTATTCCCTGCTGCTGAAGCCGAATTTCAGCACATCCTTCTCTCTCAGTTCATAGTAGCGCTGAGGTTCGATGCGCTGGTTATTCAGGAAGGTGCCGTTGCCTGAGCCGAGATCAATGATGTATGGTTTCACCTTCCGGCCCGCTGTGCCATCAGGACGGGTATACTGTACAAGCCTTGCAAAAGACAAAAGAAACCCATGGTAGTTAATGCCCAAAGATCCAGGAATTTACAGTTTGCTTCATCCGTACTTCTGAATTTGGATTCCTCCAGCCTCTCACATTGCTCTAAAGAGAGAGAGGGATCAAATACATCAGATCCCTTTTCATTCCATAGCTGGAGGTGTTTATGCCCAGATAACTGTGAGAAGGCAGTTTGTGTGCCTAGATTGAGTGGCTGCCCGATTCCCAGCAACTCGGGGTAGCTTACAGTGCAATGAAAGAAAAAAAGGCACATGTACCAGGAACAAACTACACAAGGTATCCAAGACAAGTAAGAGGCTTGACAGCTCCCTCAAGGCCAGGCTTTTAGAGATTTGTAGAAGAAGGGGTGAGACCAAACTCGGTTGAAGATGACATTCCTCAAATGGCAGCTCCTGGTCTCCCAGCCTGGAGCTTCTTCATTACCCTGGTGGAGAAAAATCACTGGGACTCCTGATGGGCCCTGCCTTCCTCTCCTCTTATAAAAATAACGTCCACTTCTCCATCTCAGGAAGAGGTGGACTATCTTCCACTGGATGCT